ACTAGTGAGACAATGTGGTGCGTGCACATGCAGGTCTGACTTATTTCACTTATGAGTATGGTCTCTAGTTGTGACCATTTACCTATAAAAGCCTCGAGTTTATCTTTCTTTATATCTGAGTAATATTCCATTCTATAAAAGTACCACAATTTTCTTATCCAATCCTCAGTGGATGGACTTTTGGGTTGCTTCCACAATTTAGCAATTACAAATTGTGCTGCTATGCACATAGGTGCACATATATCACTGTGATATGATGTTTTTAGATCTTCTGGGAAAATACCCAGAAGGGGATTGAATGGGACCTCTAGTCCTAGTTTGCTGTTCCTCTTGTCTTTTAAGGAGGGCAATAGATGTGTGATATTTAGAAGAATGCTCCTGATTAAAGCTAAAGAATATTTTAGACTAAAATGGTTGTGTTCAAAGTTATATATTCTTTAACTTACCTTATGCATATTATCAAACTACATACTGCAATAAAATAATGGGCATTTTCAAGCAACCACTCAGGGCAGTAATATTTCCTTAATCTTTACAACGTAGGATGCTAGCCTACGTTGAAGTTAAACAAATGGCATCATGTTGCTCTATGGGCATATCTGTTATTAACATTTGGATTGATCATATTGTATGCATTATCTTCAGAATTTTGTATTTGATGACTTACCCATCATCAATTTTTTCATCTTAGGAAAGGCCTTCTAATGTGTAAGAAATTGTTTTGCATGTTAAGAAAAAGCAAATATTGTTGATGAAGTTTTAAAAAATGATTTACTAGGCTTTTTGCTTGTTGTAAATAGTTTTACATAAATCATGCGTAACCAGAAATAGATATGAGTGTCTAGATTGGGAAAAATACCGATCATTTGCCTTTTTCTTTTTCCTATTTGCAGTGCATCTCAACATATAATGTTGAAAGTACTTTTGTGCTAAATTTATTACTTTTATATTCCAAAAAATTGTTTAGTATTGCTGGAATTTATTTTGTACTCACTTAATTTCAGTTTTCACATTAGCTTACTTTTCACAATGAATAACATAGTATTTCATGAATTTCTATACAAATTTCATGATAAAAAGCAGGGATGATAATCAGACAGATTACATAGATAGATAGATACAGACAGATAGGTTACTTTTTTATAATCTGGCCCACTGATGCATCTATTAGTTTGCTTTTTCTCTGAATAACACACTGCCTTTATGTATTGAAACAGTTGCACTACTTTCAAAGATTTTGCAAATTTCAAGCACCTGTGTAATATTTATCATTGATATAAAAAGTGTCTGTCCTTAAAATGTTTCTAAGCAGTGGCAACATTGATAGAACTTTTTAATATTAACATTTGTAAAATATCTTTTTTAGTGCTTTTATCTGTTTACTGGAATTTTAGGGTTTTAAAATATCTTATTGTAAGTTCTGTTAAGGCTGTTGCTATTCTATGTATGTTTTTCTCAAAAGACTTTCACTCACCAATTTTATATTGGAAATCATTTCTTATTCTCATTTACGTAGTTTTTGTGTGGGGCCTGCATCAGAATTTTATTTTATTTCCAGGTGAATAATCTTATTCCTAAAGGGATATTCATGCCTGCTTGTCTGTTCAATTCTTTTTTCTTCTCCTAACTTGCTGAGTATTTATTCTATGACTTAGAAACTCCAGTGCAATAGTAATTCTAATGCTAACAAAGAAATCTCGTTTTAACAATTTTTCAATAAAAATAATCTTGATATATAGCTTCTTTAAGAAACTTCATTCTACAACATTCACAGGAGATTGCACTTTGTCAATACTGTGTTCAGTTTTCTTAACAGAAATCTCTCAGGAGGGGAAGGGTGGAACAATTGTCTGTCCCATTAATCCCTGGAAGGTGGGTGAAAATGTACACCTCACATTCACTCATCTTCATTGTGACTCACTGTTTTATTCTTCAGGCAAAATCTAAGTTTTGACTTGAAAGAATTCCAGGCTTATCTTTAACATTATCGTTAGTTGTCAAATACAATTATATATATGTATAAATATGTGCTGCTACATATTTATATTACCTAATAGGTAACTCAAGTGGATTAATGTATCCACCCATCAGTATTTCTTCACTTGCATGAGTGTGGATAGGAATTTTGTTTAGAATACACTTAAATGATAATATTAAGGGGCTGGGGATTTAGCTCAGCGGCAAAAGCGCCTGCCTGGCAAGCGCAAGGTCGTGAGTTCGGTTCCTGGTACCGGAGAAAAACCCAAAAAAAAAAAAAAAAAAAAAACAAATGATAATATTAAGGAAATATCTTTTTCCTGAAATAAAGCATTTCAATAGAAATAAATGCTTGTTAGTATTGAATACTGTATGTACTTCAAGAAATATATTAATTTTCCCCTTGCAAGCTGTGAGGATATTTAAAAATATAACATTTTCTAAAGTCCTACACCATGTCATGCCATACACAAATTTTATTCTGAATATATGTAGCAAGGTCATGTTGACTGTATAACAAATGTAACAGAATGATGAAGGTACTCTTCCAGGAGTCTTGTAAGGCCACTGAGCTCCTCCATGAGAAATTCAACCCCATCATTCATCTAATTCCAATGACATTCTATAAAGTCAATCTTCTAATATTGTCACATCCATACTTGGCTTGTAATTATATGAGTGTGTGGAAAGCACACAAGCATTCAGTCCATAAATGGTACTGGACTACATTGGAAGATGATCATTGGTTGAGTCTTTTCCCTAAGGACTTCTGTGCTCTCTCTGCAGGCTTACGCCCAGCAACTACCAGAACTACCTGGCCTTCACTTTTGCCATAGAAGAGATCAATGTTAATCCTCATATTTTACCCAACATTTCTCTAGGATATGAGTTTCATAATTTCATTAGCAGTCATTGGGTGATGCTAGAAAATTCCTTCATTTTGCTCAAGGGACAACACAAGATCCCTAATTACACATGCAGGAAGGAAAGCAAGTGTGCAGCAGTACTGACAGAAATGTCATGGGGCACCTCGGCTCAGATCGGACCACTGCTGGAACTCTACAGATTTCCCCAGGTGAGGGTTATGGGACAGGAAATGATGGAAGCACATGCATGGTGCCTCAACTACCAGAAGCACAAAGGATTAAAAATGAGCCCGAAATATGCATCTTTCCAAGTGTATAATGCACCAGCATGTAAAGACAAAGAGTTAGTGGGTTACACACAATTTCTTTGCTTTTTCTTTTTTTTGGAAAGATGGAAAGAAATAAGTTCCAGGGATGTATGAGTACATACACTCACTTGCTAAAAGACTATCCTGAAGGAAATGTTTAGAAGGGTGGGAAGTACACATGTCTCCTTCTACAACTTGTAGGTGTTACTCAGTACACTTCAGGACTACTGTTGTGCTTTGCACCAACACTTCAGAGTATTACCCTGCTTTCTTTTCCTTTAAGGTTACCTTTGGCTCATTTGATCCTACACTGACTGACAGTGGCCAGTATCCTTCTCTCTATCAGGTGGCCCCAAAGGACACATATTTGGCCCTTGGCATGGTGTCCTTGATGCTTCATTTCCACTGGACCTGGGTGGGCCTGCTCATCACAGAAGGCCAGAAGGGTCTTCAGTTTCTCTCAGATATAAGAGCTGAGATGGACAGGAACCGAGTCTGTGCAGCCTTTGTGAAAATGGTCTCAAGTGTGGCTGTGTCTTATCTCTCATTTTCAAAGAAACATGAAATCCTTAGCACGGAAACATCACCAGTCAATGTGGTGGTTACTTACTATGATACTGACAGTACATATGCTGTAAACTACAACCTAGTGCAGCACTCAGTGTCATGGAAAGTCTGGGTGACAAACTCACGGTGGCATGCTGACCTGTCCGGGAGAGATTTCATACTTGACCCCTTCCATGGGACTCTTGTTTTCTCACACCAGCACGAAGAGATTTCAGGTTTCAAAAACTTTGTTCAGGAAGCTACCCCTTTCAAATACCCAGAGGACACTTATCTTTTTATGTATTTGTCCAAGAATTTCCATTGCTCATTCTCTGAGTCCGACTGTGCCTTGAAGAACTGCACACCTAATGCCTCTCTGGCTTGGTTGCCTCCCAATCATTTTGACACAGCCATGAGTGATGGGAGCTACAATATATACAATGCTGTGTACCTGGTGGCCCATGCCCTCCACGCGATGCATTTGGAAGAAGTACAAAGACCACCAACGAGATGTAAACAAGTGATGACGTTTCCTCCCTGGCAGGTAACGTATCTTCCCTTGGATGGCAGGTGGTGTCATAAAGGTGCCCCTCTCAACTTATTCTGTGTTTAACCCAAGAATATTAAAACCATTTGTACAAAATACAAGACACTGAATATCATACTAATTGGTAAGGAGGTAATTCCTGGGCTGAGTTGCAATGATCTTCAATCAAGGAGCCACTGCCAAGGAGAAGGAAACAGGAGGCCAGCTGCTTGCCTCTTTCTGTCAGTGCCTTACCCATGTAAATGTGTTCCATGATGTTAAAGGACAGCCGGAAAACCTGTAGTCACTTACAAAACCAAATGACATTATACCCAACAGTGTATGTACTTATATTTCATTTAATTCTGCAAACTCTTCAGGTATTGATGAACTCATTTTGCTTTTAGATCCTGTGGGAGTAGTCAGATAGACAATGGAAGTTGTGGGTTTTAGAAGTTTTGATTCGACAGTTGATGTTTTCACCCAACAACTGCACCCCTTATTTAAATGGGCTTGCAAAGAACATTTTTTCTTAAACTGACTGATATTTCTTGAACATAGTGATATTTTACTCCTTAGACATTCATGTGCTCTGATTTACTAGATAACAGTGTTAAAGTTGCTTTAGGGAAATAGGATTAAAGATGCTTAGGGACTTTCCCCCATCCATATTTTCTGTCCTGGAGCCCTGTTCTGATAGGATGATGTGTCTCCTTTAGCTGCATCGTTTTCTGAAGAACATCCAATTTCACAATCCTGCTGGAGACCAAGTGAATTTGGATGACAGAAGGAAGCTGGATTCAGAGTATGACATTCTCAATTTCTGGAATTTTCCAGAAGGCCTTAGACTGAAAGTAAAAGTAGGAACATTTTCTTCACATGCTCCGCATGGCCAACAAATGACTTTATCTGAGGATCTGATAGAGTGGGCCACAGGAACTGCGGAGGTATGTTGTACCTATCATGGCACACTTACTTAACTACAAGTGAGCTAAACACTGTCATAGGTTTTGTGCCTCCAATTTTGCTCATGTAATGGTCATATGTGGAAACTGAACAACTGTAGTAAGTTTTCAATTTAAAAAATTGTTTAGAACAATTTTTAGAACTTTCTGATGAGTGGGAAAGTAATGCATTTACTTAGTTATATTTTTGTAAATATCTATTTCATATTATGCATTAAATTCGACCTCCAATTATATAGCTTTGTTGCATACAAGTTAAGTTTATGTCTTTTACTCTGAACAAGTCGGTAAAAGTCTAAGAAGTTCCCACCATATATTTTTCCTCAGACTCCCCACTCGGTATGCAGTGAGAGTTGTAATCCTGGATTTAGAAAAAGCCCTCAGGAGGGAAAGGCTGCCTGCTGCTTTGATTGCACCCCTTGTGCAGACAATGAGATCACCAATGACACAGGTAGGGCATGTCCTGTGGATGCATTCTCCCTTTATTTTATATTCACTTCATCCATCTAGAAAAATGAAAAAATCTTGTAGAGAACACCAAGGATAAAAATCTTCCTTCATTTTTCAAATTATTTGTTATACTGCGTGCTACTGCCTCATTGGAAAACACATTTTCCCCTTTGAAATGCACTCAAATTCATTTTCCTTTTATTTCATTCCTATTCATCTTTTTTTGTTTGATTTTTCCACTGCTAGGAATTAAACCAAAATGTGCTGTATCAATGATCTATGCCCCTGAATATTCTTTTTTTTTTTTTTTTGGTTTTTCTCCGGTACCAGGAACCAAACTCTCGACCTTGCGCTTACCAGGAAGGCGCTTTTGCCACTGAGCTAAATCCTCAGCCTCCCCCCCAAATATTCTTTACTTAGTATTATGAGACAGAATATCACCAATTTGACTCAGACTGCCTCAGAAATTCAATAGACATATCTCTGCACACTGATTATCTGGAAAAACATATAGGCACCACCACACCTGACTACACTGATTTATTTGTCTATTCCCACTGAAAGCATTATTTTCTCAAGAAAAGCCCTTTCCCCTACCCCACAGCTTCTAAGTTCCATCTCCATTGTGCAGTTTAACACAGAGGAGGATTAAAGCCCACTCTTTAGAACCTTTGGAACCACAGAAAGTTTACAGTCATGACAAGGTCAGGTATACTTCATTTTCCAGTGTCTGATAGTATTCTTCTCAGAAAGCAGATGCTCAGACAGATGGAGTTTGATTGGAGATAGGGGGATGTCTTCGATGTACAACATACATATAACATAGCACAACTGAATTCCTAGGATTTAATCTCCATTCTGCTAAAATGCAGAGATGAGGGGGGCGACAAACTGTCGCATAAATGAGAGTCTCTACCACAGAACTGCAAAGATGATATGCACACAGAATAAGGGATTTAACAAGTGATAATATCTACATTTGTAGAGCGTGTTACACGCATTTTTACGGAGGTGATAGCATTAGTATTATATGACAGTAAAAGAGGTGGCATAAATCCTATTTGGATTGCTATAAATGGACAAAATGGCATACTCACTATTCACAGAATACTCAAATATACTGAAGGAAAATACCACGTTATTAAAACACAGATAAAATGAGGATGATGGCTAAACACATTCTATAAAATTTATAGAAATCTAACACTGAACAATGTTGCATACCATAAGTACCACTTTGGAAGTATTTAACTCTCTTATACATCATGACATGATATTTACCTTCCTACTGAATATTTTCTAATTTGGTTTTCCAGTTGATATAAATTTTGATTTCAAAACCTATCTAGTTTGATTTAAAATGCTCTATGAAATACATCGACTGATTATGTACTGTATCATGCAGTTATTTTGAATATATATTCTCCATAAAGTATTAGAATATGGTAGTTTTAAAAAATGTATATGCACAGATAGAGAACAATGTACCCACTAATATTAGTTAATGAACACTTATGGTATGTATAATTCTAAATCATATACAGTGTATAGAATTGATCAAAGCACAAATTAAAAATCATGTGCCAATGAAATTTCTGTGAATTGAAGCTAAAACTATACTGAGACAAATATCTATTCTATATTACATATATTTTTCTGCTGTTCTGTATTTAAATAAAAGAGCTGAAGTTCTGCATTTGAAATACTCATCACACACTACAAAAAATTACAGCAAGTTGTACACAAGAAAATGAAAGATGATATAGTCTGAAAGAAATTTTTAGAAAATTAGATAGAGAAAGTAAAGAGGTTTAAATGTGATTCTGGTAACAAAAAGTGACAACTCAGTACAATTGATCAGAAAGAAATAGAAAAATTGAAAGATTGTATGTCTTGAGAACTTTGTCCATTAGTACAGTTATATAGAAAACTTTTTGTATGAAAAGATAAGTAATTTCACATCAAACTATGCCTCAAAATCTATCAAATCACAGGAAAATTTTTAAAACAATCCTAAGAAAAAGTAAAAAGTCTCCATAGTACTAATTTCTCTACAGTACCATGTCTATTAATGGATGGGAGCCTGTACTGAAATATTTCACTCCAAACTTTTGTTGATTAATAAAATTAGCAGTGAAATTTATAAGCACTCAAAAACATATTATATTGATCTCATTCTTCAGAAAAAATGGAAAGAGGAAAAGTAATTCATTTTAAAACAGGAACTAAATCATATAACTCGTAGCTGAAAATACACTTAAAAGAAACAAAGTTGACAGTACAATTTCCTTTCACACTAAATTCACATATTCTATTTCAAATTGAGGTATGTACTTCAGCGGCAGTATACCATGAGCAAACTCAATTTATAAAATATAATTAAACATACTAGCTCCTGGAAAAAAGAAAAACAATGCTAATAAATGGAAAAAATATAATAAAATTGCACACCACTGTGATTTATAAAGAAACAATAAAAGTATTTCTTACCAAAGAGTAGAAAGTCACTAACTGCCCCTCAGAAATGGTATTTATCATATCCCATAGTGCACCTTACAATTTATGGTCCATTTTTGAAAGCAGAAATGAGACAAGAATTTTCTGTGTCATACTTCTGCCAGACATTACACTCTACATCATGGTCAGTGCAACGAAGAAAACACACACACAAAAAAAATATATTAGGAAGGGAGAGACATGAATGATATGATTTTCCAGTGATACTTGTTTTTAAGTATAAAATCCATGTAAATGAATAAAATTATAGTGGATTTCCTGGTTATGGAATACAAGGCTTATATGAAAAAAACTGTTTCCACACCTCAGTCATAGACAAAATTTTGAAACTTGATTTTTGGAACATTTAAAATCATTAAATATGTAGTGATATATCCTGTAATGGTTTTGAAAGTTATAAGAATTATTAAACTATTGAAATACCCCTTTGACAATAAAATTTATATAAGTGGATGCAGAAAGCACATTCAAAAATGGAGAGGCTCAATAATGGAATTACTTGACATTCAATACATCACTTCACATGTATTTTCCTGGGAATTATCAAATTATGTTGGCTTTCTAATATGACCTTATTCATTGACTATCTTGGGAATCATTCACATAGATTTGATTTATATCAAATAAGTGAATAAGTAATAAAGGTTAATCTTTTATGACTTTGTAAAAATAGTATGTTTTTATGGATATGTCAGATTTGAAAAGAGAATAAATAGCAAATAGTATTATTAGGAGTTATTCTCTATGTATTGCTCTTTTATTTTGTGTCTAGAAAGGAAAGAAAAAGTGAGGTGTGATGATGTATGACTGGAATGCAGGGCTCTGGGAGGGGGAGGCAAGGGTATTTTAAGTCAGAACACAACATAATGACTTAAGGAGATCCTTTCTCAATGTAATAACACTTAAAAGAGTTGGAAATACATCCCAGTGCAAAGTTTCTGAGTTCAATCCCACATAAAGAAAAAGAGAAAAAACAAGAAAGAATTAAAAAGCAACAACTAGTTCAAGCAATTCCAATGAGTTTTGGGGACGGGTATGTAAAAAGATAAAAATAGAAAACCTAGGCAAGTGACAATTTTAATTGTTGCTAGATATGGAGCAGTGTGTGAAGTATCCAGATCATCAATATGCCAACACTCAGAGAAACCACTGCCTGCAAAAAGCTGTGACTTTTCTGGCTTATGGAGATCCCTTGGGGAAGGCTCTGGCTGGCACAGCCCTGAGTCTCACTGTCCTCGCAGCTGCTGTCCTTGGGCTCTTTGTGAAGCACCGACACACTCCCATCGTCAAGGCCAACAACCGGGCTCTCAGCTACACCCTGCTCATCTCCCTCACCTGCTGCTTCCTCTGCTCCTTGCTCTTCATTGGCCGGCCCAGCACCGCCACCTGTATCCTGCAGCAGACCTCATTTGCAGTCGTGTTCACTGTGGCTGTTTCCACTGTCTTGGCCAAAACCATTACTGTGGTGCTGGCCTTTAAGGTCACTGCTCCAGGCAGAAGGATGAGGCAGTTGCTGGTATCAGGGGCTCCTAACTCCATCATCCCCATCTGCTCCCTCATCCAACTCACTCTCTGTGGAGTCTGGATGGGGACAAATCCACCCTACATTGACACAGACGCTCACTCTGAACATGGCCACATCATCATCGTGTGCAACAAGGGCTCCCTCACTGCCTTCTACTGTGTGCTGGGATACCTGGGCTCCCTGGCCCTGGCGAGCTTCACCGTGGCTTTCCTGGCCAGGAACCTGCCCGCCACGTTCAATGAAGCCAAGTTCCTGACGTTCAGCATGCTGGTGTTCTGCAGTGTGTGGGTCACCTTCCTCCCCGTGTATCACAGCACCAAGGGGAAGGTCATGGTGGCCATGGAGGTCTTCTCCATCTTGGCCTCCAGTGCGGGGCTGCTGGGCTGCATCTTTGCCCCCAAGTGCTACATTATTTTGCTAAAGCCTGAGAGAAACTCTCTTACAGGGATCAGGGCCAAAACACATTCTGTCAGAAAGGAGCCTTCTTATCATTAAACATGTTTTCTAATATACACAGAGGGCCTGAATTCAAAGCTGAACCATATGAGAAATCAAATACTATAGTCTACTACAGGACTTATATCCTTACTAAGTGATGTAACTTCTTTTTCTAATAGCATAGTGTTTACTAGAAACTGTAGTCCTCATCTTTTTAGGTTAATTTTATTCTGGATATTTCATTGCCTATTTAAGTTAGAATTCATCCTTTTTTTTCTATGACTATACTATCCACTTTTATTTTGTCTTCCTTTTAGATTTCTCAATATTTTTTATTTTAAAAAGATTATAAATTGCTTCCAGATTTTGAATCCTTTAATATACTTTATTGCTTTTTTCTTTTGAAAGAATATCCTGTCTTCAATGTGCTCATTATAATATAATGTGGTAGTTGTGTGTATATTTGTTTTCTCACATTTCCCTTTTGCAATTAGTTACATGAATATTAAAGATTGTATCTCTGGGCTGGGTATTTAGCTCAGTGGCACAGCTCCTGCCTGGCAAGTACAAGGTCATGAGTTCGATGCCTGGTACTGGAAAAAAACAAAAACCAAAAAAAAAAAAAAAAAAAAAGTTCTGCCTCGCATGGCTTTTTGGATTCTAGAACTGACTGGTCATATGCAAGTATATATAGTGTTCATTATATGATGCTAATGTACTGAATTTATAGAATGCTTTGTGGAAGAACTTGTAGATATGCAGTAGAACATTTTTCCATATCAGATTTATATTTCCTTTTTTATCTTACTAATCATTGTTTACTAACAGCTATATTTGTGTATAATGTACATTTGTGCTATACTAGATTGAACTAATATCATGTACTAATGTACTAATTACAAATGTACTAATGTACACTTGTGTTATATAGAGTTTATTCAATAATCTTTCTTGTCATGTTTATATCCAGGTATTTGAAATGGTGTTTAGATAATGTGAAAGGAAATGCTTTACCTCCATATGTTCTTTATTCTATGTGCCTAAGGATTCATCTATCCTCTATCTATCTATCTATCATCTATCTATCATCTACCTAAGGAGCTTTTTCTCGGCATGGTGACACTGACGTGATGCCAGCACTTGAGGTGATGAGGCTGGAGACTGCAAGTTGGAGCTCAGCGTGGAGCACTTAGAGATTAACAAGCATGTGTCTGAAATCAATATTAAATGAGTCAGTGGATGTAGAGCGCTGTATGCCAATATCCAGTTTATGGTTCTGAGTAATTACTTTTTCATTAAATTTTAAGCTGTAGAATTCCACTAATAATGTTGAATACTTATTTCTTATTAAAAGCTTAATTAGAAACAGGGTGCAGATTCTTGACACTGTTGAAAGTATATTTGGATTCAGTATTTGGCATCTATTTTTAAAGAAGGAGACAACAGTTCTCCTCTACTAGATTTTTGAGTATGCATACGCAATAAAAAGTATTTCTTGCATGGAGGGATTGAAAGAGTGCTTACAGGATGGGCGGATGGAATCGTGGACGGGTGGGTGGAAAGAGTATTAACGGCAAAAAAGGGTGAGTACAGTTCATGGATCCATCGATGGGACAAAAGAGTGGGGAACGAGGGAGTAACACAAAAACAAAATGGAGAGTTGGAGAACTTTCTTCATCTCTTGCTGTCTTCAGATATTTCCAGTATAGTCCATCAAAACTTCAATACACTTAAAATATAAAATATAATAATTTATCACTGCCCCCATCTGAAACAAACTTACAGAAATACAACTGCCCTCTTCCGTTCCCCTCAGCTCTGCACAGCCCCAGCTCCTGGTATGACTGACTCACCTGATGAAATAAATTCTTAAGCACCTGGAATTTTAGCTTCCTTTCCCGTGTCTCCATTTCTGTATTTCCACATGCTCTGGGTTCTCTACCTGGCACCTTCAATCCTTTCCAAATTCCTCCCACAAACCAGCTCCCAATGCTCTCAGTCCATATGGTCAGGTACACTGACAGAAATTACTCAAATTCTATGCTACCAAAACATATCCCAGTCCCTTTTTCACTGCTGAGACAAAATACTGAATACCTGTGAGTTAAAGGTAGAGAGATTTATTCTGTCTCGTGGTTTCAGTTCCAGGTCGGCAGTCTCTGAGGCAGAAAGGCAGCACGGAAGGGCGTGGCAGAAGAAAGCTGTTCAGCCATGGCAGTCGGGAATCAAAGACAGAAGGAGGAACTCAGGGCCAGGGACACAGATTCTCAGGTTCAGTCCCCAGGACACCCTGCCCAGCCAGGCCCCACTTGGTAACAGCACATTTAGGTACCAAACTCATCCCAAAGTGAATCTCCTGAGGAACACAGGACCCTGTGGTAAAATCACCTTCCACACACAAGACTTTAGGGACACATAACAGAGTTTGTGGGGAAAAGGGAAGAAGACAGACAGGAAAACTTGTTGAGCACTTACTGGGTGCTAGAGGGATGCTAGGCTCTCTGTGCTGTAGTCTGCAGCAGCCCCGGATAGGAGACATCATTCTCCGTAATTTCATACATTGCAAATGTATAAAAACCCTCACTGAAATCCCCCTCCTGGAAACTGGCCAGGACTGGGATTCAGGCTCCAGCCCGGTCTGCTCCTTCCCCAGCCTCACCTGCACTCTCTTCTTGGCCCAAAACTGCTTCTGAAACCCCAGGGCAGGTAAACAATTTCTTTGACTTAAGGTCCTAACTTTTGTCAAAACTGTTTCTGTCAAGAGGTGACATTCAAATACTGCCACTTACAACTTATCAAATGATTTACTTTTAATCCTGTTAAGCAGGATGCCTTGCTGAGCTGAAAACTGAGTGTGACAGTAGACACGAATCCTGAAGCCTTCACATTGTACTAAGGTGAGAGGACATTAAACTCCACCCATTGAACACGGGACAAACATGGGAAACTGAGGCTCAGAGAAATGGGTGACTTTTCAGTCAGAGCCAGGATGCCAACCCTTGGAACTTGCCTGTGACATCATCTGCCATTGTCACATACTGGGTGGAAGAGCGCCTGCCCAAGAGAAGCCACCTGGAAAACCAGAATGTGAGTTTATATGGAAATATGGTCATTACAGATGGCCAGAGTGCAGATGACGTCATCCTGGGTTGTGGTGGGCCCTCAATTCTATGAGTGGTGTTGTCATAAGATGGCACAGACCAGGTGTGGTGGTCACACTTGCAGTCCCAGCAATATGGGAGGCTGAGGCAGGAGTCCAAGAAAAGGGGCTGTGTGGATATAGCTCAGTGTGAACCTGGAGAGACAGGCAGACAGACACAGACATGGACACAGAGAAAGTCAGACAAGGACAGAGGCAGAGATGCATGCAGTGCTGCTGCAGTGTCTGGGGCCTTCAAGAGCCAGAGAAGCAGGGAGGAGCTTTCTCTACAGGAGTGTGGCCCGGTGACACCTTGGTTTCAGACTTCTGCTCTCCAGACCTAGGGGATGATCCATTTCTTTGTGGTATCTGGAGCCCAGCAAATTGCAGAGCGTGTCCCCCCTGCTGAGGTGCTCAGACTGTCTCATGGGGTGTGCACTCTGCCCTCCACGAGTGCATGCAACTTGTCTCTCCAGGACTTGTGACCAAGGCGGTTCCCATGGGGGTGCTGCCCCCTCCCCTGTGCACTGGCTCTTCCCACTTGGGGTCCAGGGCCTGTGCACATGCCACTCTAAGGGACTCAGTAAAAGGGAAGTGAGAATCTGGTAGCACCAGGAGAAGTCACAAATTTCAGTTGTTCATAAAAGCTCCAGGTCTTGCAGTGCATACTGGGTCCCAACCTCCCCCATTCTCTTTCCAAAGTAGAAGTGGAGCTGCATCTGGAAAGCAACTTTTTATAGGGTTTCCAGTTGGCTGGAGTTATGGTGTGTATTGAGGTGGTCCCCCAAAGCCTTACGTGCTCATAGTTGGGCTTTAAAGGTGTGTCAGTACCTAGCACATGTGCTATTGGGATTACAGGTGTGTTACTGGATCATCCACTGATTGGTTTAGCGCAGTTTATTTGAATATATTTACAAACTGCTGTAATATAAAATATCATTGTTTTCAACATGTATAGCTTTTACAGCATTACTTTTCTGTACAATTTGTTGCCTGTGTGCAAGTGTAGTTTTTATGGTGTTGTATAGATCATAAAATGTGCCCACTCGGTAGCTTTTATTCAGTCTGTGGCTTGCATTCCCTGCCTGTGTCCCAGTCTTGGCTCTAGGGGTCATCAGCAAATGTAGATAAGGACACAGGGCAGATCCACCCAGATGACACACCAGGAGCAAAATGGACAAATGCCAGACTCAGGACCATGCAGCAGGAGGAACAAAGAAATGATAACAGGGGACAGAGTGAGATGGACAGAGAGAAGGAAAGTGCGGGGAAACTATTACTGCAGACATTAATGACATCACCACATGATCGTCTGCAGATGTTATCTGAATCAGCTTTGAAGACACACACTTACCAAAGAGGAAGTTTGAGCACTGACTGACAGTTAAACATTAACAACTGGTAGGAATTTGTGCTCGGTAGAACAAAAGTGAAGCCCAGAAAGCAGATGCACATGCTTATCCCAAAATCAGGAAATTATTTTCTAAACTCCTACCAGACTCATTTTTGGCAAGACTCATGTCCTTCAAGCTTTCTGTGGGTCAAGGCAGTGGACACAGTGTACAACATACATGAAATCCTCGGAAGGGCTGGGGATACAGCTCAGTGGTACAAGCGCCCATCTGGCAAGCACAAGGTCCCGAGTTCAATTCTTGGTACCAAGATAAAAAAAAAAACAGGGGCTGAGGATTTAGCTCAGTGGCACAGCGCCTGCCTGGCAAGCGCGAGGTCGTGAGCTCAATTCCTGGTACTGGAAAAAAACCAAAACCAAAACCAAACCAACCAACCAAACAAGCAAACAAACAAAAAAACAAAAGAGAAATCCTCACAGCCCACTGACTCCATGGGGAAAGTCGGTTACAGATGAATTCCACCCAGTAGGTAGAGATAAGGACACTCCATGTTGAAGAGCGGTGAGAGGGATACATGACCTTTGGATCTGAAAGAAATTCATGGCTGTAGACAAGGTGTGAGAAACGGTGTGTAAGTGAACTTTGTCTTTCTGCCTAGAAGTAGCATTGTAAATGGCAGGTGCCCTGGGGGGAAGTAAAGAAAATAACGCTGTCTGGGTGTCCTTGATCTTGAAAGCTACCCTGTCAGGGTGTGCA